AAGAAATCTACTCCATGCTAGAAATGCGAGAAACTCAAGGAGAAGAGTTAGAAACCATCTTGGAGGAGGCTACCAATCTTCTTGGCTCTTGTGTTGAACTTTCCTTGGAGAAAATCTTCCCAAAATCCACCTTGGAGCAAAACCCTAGCCGCCTTCTTCATTGGTTCGTGTTTCTCTCTCTAGAAATTAGAAGAAGGCTTTCTCACTCAAGTGGGCTCTCCCCTCTCTCTTCCTTTCAGCTAAGCTTTTAAACAGTGAACGATCTTAGTTCACGGCCTCAGTTCATGGCTGTGAACTCTGAAACACATCCGTGAACTGAAGATGGGCGCCGAAATGCACCGCTTTGCTTTCACTGGTTCACAGCCAACAGCTCTTGTTCACGGTCTTAACGACCGCGAACTCAATTGGCCTCAGTAACTTGCATTTTGGCTCTGGACGCCCCAAAGTTCACAGCTAATGGCTCTTCTTCACGGTCATACAAGACCGTGAACTCGCCGTTTTTCACCTATTCTTCCGGTTTCACTCCTTTTTGTCCAACTTTCGACTCTGAGGCTGGTTTCACCTGTTAAATCCTGAAACACACTAAAACACGAGAAACCTAGCATAAAACCAACCTTTTAAGAGAGAAGTTGCCACAAACGACTAAGGAAAACGGGGGGAAAACATGTACAATTAGGCCCGAATCATAAATGGATGCATCGCATCACAGCCTTCATTCAAAACCAAACGGAGTTCAGAGATCCCCTGACTTTCATACAAAAGCCAATAATTTAACGCAAGATCGGAAACTGAAACATAGTGGGTGCCTAAGGTCATAGAATGCCCGCGGTTTGCAAGAAAATTAGCACAATTGTTACCCTCGGCCCTCGCGATAGATGTGATGTATCGTCACCTCCCAATCAAGCCGGAGGAGCTCAGAAAACCTATGGATGATTGCTGCATGTTGATGATCCGACGCGTCCGGCGACAAGAGGAGCTGAACTGCAAACTGAGAATCCAAGTCTACTCTAATTCGGCGATGTTAGAGGTTCCAAGCCAACTGAAGACCTTCCACAACGCCTCTCAACTCTGCCCGGGTAATGGAACACATACCTAGGTTGCTAGCGACTGCTGCCAAGCAACATCCTGTATGATCTCGTAACAAACCACCTGCAACAGCGTGGTTTGTTTCAGTATGAACGAAGCCATCCGTGTTGAGAGGAACCCACTTGGGAGGTGGTGGCTTCCATGAGATCTCCACCTCCGTTCTTATGGGTTGACTAGACATATGGGTGAGCCTGTCCTTGTCCATGGCATTCCGCACGACATTTATCCATGCCACGATGCACTGTAGAAAGTCATCAGTTGAAGTGATCTTGCCCGCAAAGACTCAATCATTCCTGGTCTTCCAAAGAGACCAGCAGGTAATGCCAAACTCAAGGCAATGATGCTGATTCTTGATGTTGGTCAGGAGTCAATCTTGTAGATTCATTCTGAAAAATGTTTGGTGGTCAGAAGGCTGGATGAGATGCAACCAAGTTAACCTGTAAAGGGACAGTCCCGCAACACATGCATGGTTGTCTCTAGAGCTTTCCGACAGTAAGTGCACATGTTGTCTCTCATCAAATGTCTCCGCTGCCGTTCGCTGTTGGTGAGTAAACGATCTTTGGCTGCTAACCAGAAGAAGAGGTTGATGCGAGTTGGGCCTCTCCACCGCCAGAAGGTCTTCCGATCCAGTGCTGACTCGTCGAGTTCTGCTGCGATTCGGTAGGCGGATTTAACGCAAAACCGTTCGTCACTCTCCTGTCACAGACTGCGAGGTCCTCCCCCAAGTCACTCCTAGGTAGTTGGATGCCCACTACCTGCAAAACCATATCATTAGGAAGAAAGGTTTGTAGGAGAGGAATGTTCCACTCACCACTCGGCAGAGTAAAGTCCGCCACTGCCTGGGAAGGATCGATGGTTTGGGCGGATTCCTGAACATGATCAATCAATCTTTCTCCGCTATCAAACCATCTATCCGTCCAGAAGTTAGTATCTATTTCTCACCAAATTTAATCATGATGCGAGTTACATTTATCGCCAGATTGATTCCAATTACATTTACCGCCAATCTATCCATGTGGGTTGGGTGAATTTTGGGGTGAGTGTGAATCATGATTAAATTCACCCACTTAGCTGTGGATGAGTACATTTATGCTCAAAATTTGCCCAACCTCCCATCCAATGCCCATCCCTCATTCAACTCACAATCAAACAACTCTCCTTACACTATAAGAAATGTAACCAAACAAAGCCAGTAACTAATCTCCCCACCATCGACACCTCCTCTCCGGCAATCCGAGTTTACGGCATGGGCGAGCAGCACGTGGCACAACTGGGAACTCATTTGGCTAGGTGGCAAATGGATTAGATCCATGGATTGGTGGATTCATTGATCAAGTGGATTGACCCAACCCATCGTATTTCGGGTCGGGTTATAGGTCGTTTCAGGTTATGAGCGGTCTCAGAAGCAATATCAGACATGCTTCATAATTTTTTTAAAGAAAATCTTCACATATGCATGGCAATAGTTTACCTAACACATGTCAATTAACATATTCTCAAATCCGCCCATGCTAATGAAATGAAATACAAATCTTCAAAAAACAATAACAAGAGTAATACTACTACAAGAAACACATGATATTTGATTATCCGTAAACTCCAAACATGTCTTTCAAATCTTTGTGAATTTTTTTAAACATCTCACCAATTTATAAGTGATTTTATCATTTTTGGAGTAATATATGAAATTAAATGAGTCTATCGGGTCGACCCACTAACCTACCCAACCCACCCAAAAAACACAATTTAATCGAATTCGAGTCATTTGGATTTTGATTTATAAAAACATCTATTTTTCGGGGGAGTTCGACTCGTGTGAACGGATCGAGTTTTAATTTGACCGTTCTACTTTTGGCACATGGCCGATCAAATTTTGTTTGTTCCAAATTCCAATGTGCCGTGGAAAAAAAGCAGATTGCGTTTGTGCCAGGTAGAGAGAGAAGAGTTTTTTTTTCTCAAAGTGAAAATGGCAAAAAGATCCAAATTGTAATCCGCCCATGCTAATGAAATGAAATACAAATCTTCAAAAAACAATAACAAGAGTAATACTACTACAAGAAACACATGATATTTGATTATCCGTAAACTCCAAACATGTCTTTCAAATCTTTGTGAATTTTTTTAAACATCTCACCAATTTATAAGTGATTTTATCATTTTTGGAGTAATATATGAAATTAAATGAGTCTATCGGGTCGACCCACTAACCTACCCAACCCACCCAAAAAACACAATTTAATCGAATTCGAGTCATTTGGATTTTGATTTATAAAAACATCTATTTTTCGGGGGAGTTCGACTCGTGTGAACGGATCGAGTTTTAATTTGACCGTTCTACTTTTGGCACATGGCCGATCAAATTTTGTTTGTTCCAAATTCCAATGTGCCGTGGAAAAAAAGCAGATTGCGTTTGTGCCAGGTAGAGAGAGAAGAGTTTTTTTTTCTCAAAGTGAAAATGGCAAAAAGATCCAAATTGTAATTTTGATATTGTCCAGGACGATACTAATTTTAAGGACGACATTTATCAATTTCCTATGGAGCAATTTGATACAAATGTCTCAAAATGAGACAATTGGAACACATTATCTCATTTGGCTACCAAAAAAAAAAGAATGAATCAATTGTAAATGGAGAATTGTTGATTGCTCCATTATGAGACAATTGAAAATACGTGAGTATGGGGAGGTTTTCTCAATTGCTTCGTTTTATGTTCACTTTTTCCAAAGCTACCCCTTCTTTTTTCCTTTTTCATTTTCTTTCCCCTCTCTCACTGTAGAAAGTAGAAACCACCGAGACATCTCTTCTCTTCTTCTCTCTCTCTCTCTCCCCCCACACCCCCCATGCCTCCCTCTTCCTCCCCCAACTGGTTTTGGGTATAAAATCGTTCCATATGGCTAGAGCCTAGGGACCACAAGAGTAGTAACAGGAGTCAAAGTGCTGCTATGGTGAACAAAATCAAAATCTATTGCCGCAGGACGTGGAAGAAAGGTCCGGAGAAGGTTCGATCGCCGGCGACAAGATTAGAGAGAGAGATATATATTGGTGGCGGTTCACAGTAGTCGCTCGACACAAGCGTCTTTGTAGATCTGGATCAACGGAGAGAAATCCTGGGCCATTTTTGGTAGAATTTTTTAGACAGAACCCCATTTTTTGTCTCGATTTTGTTTTATTTTTTAATAATGGCTCCTTCAAATTAGTCAAGCTTTGATCAAGGGGAATTTGATTGCTCGGTTGGGGAGCATTATACCTGGGCTTTGGGGTTTATTTCCGACGCTCTGTTTCTCAACGTGTGGTATGTGAAGTATTTTACCTTGGCTTGTTCTAAAAGAGGAAGATGGAGAATGAGGGTATTAAAACAAGGACAAAAGTGTATTTTCAGTAATAGTCACATCTCAATTGCCTCATCTCAAATAACAAGCCAAACAAGGCAATTGGGGACAAATATACTATACAATTGTCTTATTTTGTAAAATGAGACATTTACACCAAATTGTCTCATTTTGTAAATGATCCATCCAGACGACCCCTAAAGCCAAACAAGGCAATTGGGGACAAATATACTATACAATTGTCTTATTTTGTAAAATGAGACATTTACACCAAATTGGCTCATTTTGTAAATGATTCATCCAAACGACCCCTAAAAAGATTTGAGAGACTATCGAACCTCTGGTAGTAGTTTAAGTATGCAAAAAAATGAAGAAAAAGGTGATCCTCGAAACAGCGGTGACATTGTAATTATTATTGAATATTTTTTATTAAACTAAAATTCATTTGTTATTCTAATTTTAATATAAATATAATTATAAACGTCTAACCTTTTCCCAAAATTTTCAATAAGACTTTATTTAATGGTTTTCAGACAAGTCTACACCAACACTATGTATATAGGTTTCAAAAATAATTTATTTATAGTCATAAAAAAGAATTTATTTATAGCCATTGGAAAGAAGTCTACATCAAAGCTAAGTGGTTGGAAACTTACAAAGTCTACATCAAAGACAAGTCTACATCAATGCACTTAGCTTTGATTGTTGAAACTTACAATCACGCCAGGTTCGGTCCAAGGCTCTTAAGAGATCAATGTTGGAAATAGTTTGAACTTTGTTTACATGACTCGTTGTAACCTCACTCTCTCCCCTCTGCAGATTTTGCATCAGAGTAATAGTATACTTAACTTCAAGAAGCTATGTTTCATTCAGCTTCTCTCGTAGGTAGGGATAGGCACCCCAAAGTCGTGCGTGAGATTCTTGTAAACTCGTTGAATCCTCTTCGTGACGCTCCCCACTTCGCCATCACCAATTTGACGTCCATCGATCTTCACCACCTACGAGCATATCGGTTTATATGTATCCATGAGATGACCATTGCTCTACCGAAAACACTCTTTCAGAGACAACATAAAAAAGTACCTACTTACCGGGGTAATCTCCCCCATTGTTCCAGTGGTCCATACCTGCATTAATTACGGCACAAGTTACCAAGAAGCACTCATCGTTTAATCAACGCACAACAAAACCCATATTCTAAATCTCATAATTTGAAAAGCATTTCAACCGTAACGAGTTTAGTTTACCTCGTCTGCTGTGTGAAACTCTGAAAGGCTGATCCTTCGCTCCTCTAATACGAATTTCTCCTCAGACCACAACATCCATAACCTTTGGAATGTTTAATGATTATATTCAACATATTTGGACTCAAATAACAGACAATCCATCCTTAATGCTAGCTTAAACATAACTTACAGTAGCACTAGTGATGCCAGGGAGACAATAATCAGCATGTGGTGTCAAAACACGACCTTTCTTCACTAAGAACTGGAAAGGAGTACACAAACATAACAGTCACCACCTTGTCAATATGGTATCCCAATAAATAAGAAACTGCTTGCTTGGTATCACAGTAGTAATCCCAAGACTGGAGAGGGGGGGGGGGGGGGGGGGGGGGGGGGGGGGGGGGGGGGAGGGGGGACATAGACTCACAATATTCGTAGCATTTGTTTCGGAAACGTAATCATCCTTGTCAAGCATGATGGCATCATCAGCTGATGCATTATTCCCTTCTACCTAAATCAAGCAAGTACATTCAATCTTAACTAGAATTCTTTTCAGTATTTGAAATAATTAGATATGAGTAAAAAAAATTATCATCTCAAATACCTTAGCAAGGATGTTATTAAGAAGGTTGTTGTGGTGAATCTTTGAATCTAAATTCTGGCATTTCACAAGAAGTAAGCATAATGATACAATCAAAGAAAAAACGATAGGTAAACATCAAACACACATTTGGTGAGTTCCGCCTTGTGGTAGCAGTCACAAGAGTTATGCCATGTGCATTATCATAAACAGGGGGTTTCCATTCAGGAAGTACTGTCAAGCCAAAACCACGGTGCAACTTAGATAACGAACAAGCTATTTTTGCATATTAAGTCGGCCCAAGAACTTACCAATTAACGTGCATCCATACAGATTAAATGCAGGGCTCATCCCTGAAGTAACGTGGGGTAAAAGAAAATTCAACAAAAATGAGGTTAAATGCAATTCAGTTGTCGTTCATCAATATTTGTTTGTATATGTTTCACGTCTTTTAGCATGTTAGAAAGATATGGAGTTGTATCTCTTGTCGAAAGATAATCTATTATCGACCTTTTTTCCACGTGTAAGAGACAATCGTATGTGTGCATTATTGAACATTCCATTCATAACAAGAGTTCTGAAGATGGCTTCCTTGATCTGTATATAATCCAAAATGAATAGATCAATTCTCTACAAAGACGTAATTCAACAAGAAACGAAATTTTCCAGGGAAAAAAAATTGAGGGAGCTTCTTAAAACTCACCTCATCCCGAGTTGGAACATTACTGAAAGCTAAAGCCTTTGCTGAGTCAAACATCCTTTATCAAAAGAAGAAAGTCGCATGAATCTCAATTAAACGATCAGGATATCGACTCTGCAGACACGGAATAAAAGAACTTCCCAAGGACACAGAAGCAACATCCTAACTAACCTGTCTAAATGCTCCTCGAGCTAAATACCTTTCCATCGTAAACGCGTAGACCCTCCCACACTGAATTGCCTCCTTGGACAACCGAGTCGAACACAGATACCTAAAACCAAAATATGAGAAGGCATCAGGAAAGAGTGACTCTTGAAACCGAATAAACTCTCAAGTTCTTCTATAATAGTGAGTATACCTTGGCACTATCTCGGGGAAGGATCTCATCTCCAACCCATGCTAGAAGCTTCTCATTTTCAGGCACTGGAAGATCAGGGGCAGGTAGCGGGCTCTTCAGAAGGTTTGATGAACGCTTTACGCGATGTTTAAGCACATTGTACAAAGGCAAGACTTCTTCCAACAAGTCATAAAGGCCAAATGGAAATGGCTACGAATGAAGCAAGATAAAGAGAATAGGTTAGGGCAATTAATTCGAAGAGAAAATGGCATGGAGATCAAACAAAATACTAATGGCATACCATGGGATACTTTCTCACTTTGGCAAAACATGTTGATTCATGCACACTCTTATACCACCATGGAGCCCAAACTCCATCGTACGCTTTAGGACCAGCTTCCCAGCTGACATTATATAAATAAAGAAATTGACATAAACACACATTTCAGATTTTGAAATAAATCTACGCAATGAAGTAGTCATAAAGCTTTCTATTGAATTCACCCGCGACAGAACTGCTAGGTGTCTATACAAACAAGCAAATGCTTAGCGTAATGAAAAATTCAGACACCTAACTAACTCATCAATCACTGTTTTCCCCTAACTTTGAGGAGGGTACTTAATTGTTCTTAAGAAGATACTCCAAAAATATTTAAATGGTTAAGTTATGCAAATGTGATTAGATCGAGTATCTCATCTGGAGCCATGGTATAGGAAAAGCATCCTATAACCAAGAAGCGGACTCAAACTAGGACATGAAACGAAATGAAGTAAGCTTTCAAATTGGGTTGTGACTGCTAACCTGAGCATTGAGCTCTGGAAAGGTATATCCAAGTCTTCACAAAGACCACGCAGTGTAGCCTGCAGGAGTAGAAAGTTGATTGGCAATCGTGATAGATCTCCAGTAACCAATAGAAGCATAATGTTGCAGAAAAAAACTGAAAATGGAAGGACAGAAGCTTTTGTTTGTATAAGAACATTTAGCAGACGCTACCAACCTCAGGGTTTTGCTCAAGGTCTGCTGCATCAATAACTGGTGGAGGGCTTCCCAATTTCCAGAGATCACTGTATACCGAGACTAGTTCTGCTAGACCTAACTCGAAAAACGATGGGGGCACAACTTTATCAAAAGAGGGCTGACAAAAAGAACAGAAACCAAAAGAACAAACAGTGAGCGAAATCACATATATAATCTTTCACAGGTGAAATTTAGATTCATCAAGTTAAGAAGAAGGCAACTGATGCATAACAGATTTGCTCATGAAAGCCTTGAAGCTATATAGAGTTGAGGAATAGGACATTATGGTTCCCCATCCGACTGGTTGCCAATTTTATGGCCGGTACTTCAAACTTTAAAGCATGAGTCATGAGTTCAAAATCTCTTAGCAGGATATCAAGGGGGTTGCGTATCAATATAAAGTGCTTCCCTTTCTTCAACAAATCACTGGGCAAACCAGGCAACCTTTGTTTCCAGATATGCTGCGGATAGTAAAAAGGAAAGGAAAGACGCTGCAAATCATTAACTCAAAGCTGATTTGAGGATAATGTATTATATTTCAGACAAAACAAGTTAGCTATTTATTCTCTTCACTCTGTATCTTTTGCAGGCATCAAGATTACATCTTCTTAGTGATTGGGAACTCTACCATCAAAAGTGTTGCCCAAACATTACCTTGCAGAATCTGTACTTCTTTCTTCCCGGGCCGAAGATTACATCTTTTACAACCTTTTCTTCATCGGCTTCCTATTTCAAACCAAATGAAAGTGGAATACCAGATCAAAAAGCACATATAATCAAATAGCATGAAATTGGCATGGGACGATAATGCAATGCAGCAGCATACCATGGAGCTTAGAACCTGCTCTCTGCATGGTCTTGCCGCACCAGTCGATTTTAGGAAAGTTGCATACAGAGGTTCGTCAAGAACTTCAGTGTCATCACTCTGAGGAGAAGTAAAGAATAGAACCGAAATGCTTAGGTGCAAAATACAGATGTCCTTGAGAGGGAATCAAACACTAAATTTCTTATCTTTAAGGTCCATGCATTCGCTTGCAGGCTCTCTCTCTCTCTCTCTGTTTTTTTTCTTTTTGCCATTTGAAAAAGCACAGAAATCAGTGAAATTGAACTAGTTCGTTTCGATCGTCAACTTAAGCAAGACCCAGAAGTCAAAAGCGAACAATCATCAGTAGGAATCACAAATGTACCCCCCAATTTCTCACAAATTTGTGTCAGCTGATCTCAACAAGCACTCAACTTTCCGGTTCAAACTCACTCAACTTGAGATCTGCTTCACCACCCACCATCAGAAAACAAGTACAAGGAAATATAACCAGAAATGAGTCAATAGCTCAAAGAGATGAAGACCTGAGCAAAAGAGTACATGAGGCTGGTGCTGAGAGACCTCGGAGCTGACCATGCATGGATCGCCTCCACCGCCTCTTCTACACTACCCATTTCGTCGACGACCGGTCTTGATGAACACAGTCACTAGCTAACAGTAAGGTGGCGAAGGTGAGAATGGAGTTTTGGTAAACGGAGTCAAATAAAACTTCGATCGACTAAACATCAAAACCTTGCATGGTCTTTTAATCTTTTTGGTTTGCAGAGGCAGGGGAGAGGGATGGGACGGAATCTTTCAGAAATATTTTGCTAAAAAACAAAACGTCCGGGAATCTGCCAGAATCTCATTGACACCCGTGAATCTCTTTTCTAGTAATGTATTTGTTGTAGGGGGGAAAGAACGGCGACTTTGTCACTTGATTGTGTGGGTACTGGGTAGTGAAAGTGAATATCTAGGCCCACATGGAAAGAAAGGCTTTCGATTCACGGGAAAAGGAGGTAACAGAACAAAATCACCTAAGAACTTTCACATGAACATGCGGTCCCGACTGCTATTTGGAGAAAGCAGGAATCTTTTTAGGGTGGAAAGTAACTAAACGTTTGGATCTTTTCAGCATTTGGAAGTGACAGTAGATAAACGGACACTAGAAGGATCGTAAGAGCTCATATAAGGAAGTAACTTCAATGGCCTTGCTGTATCGGTTATGTCTGTGATTGTAAGGCCACCCTGCTCTGCTAGGTCTAGGAAACAATTGAAGGTATCAATGTTCCGTATCACACAAGCAATGTAACCCACAGGGGTTTTCATTGACTCAGCAGATGCTTGTTCATCATTCTCAGCTTCTTCAGCTCTGCCTTCATTGACAATGTCCTCCTGGCAGTTGCTGTTCCTTGTCTGAGAAGTTACTTGCCTTTGCTTCAATAGGGTTGCAAGTACTCTAACAAGATGAGGGAGGCATGCTGGGTCGTAGATTACATCAGCGCCTAAACTGTAGAATGATGCATTAAGAGAATGGCTGTCATTTCTGAAGCAGAACATGTTGTTGAAGAAAGTGCATTTCAATTTCAAGGAAAGATAAGATTGCTCACACTATCTCAGGAGTGAACTCCTAAATTTCGGCTTCAGCAGCAGATTCCCATGACAGGTGAATGCATTGCACCTCAGAATTACTCCCGATGTCAGATTTCACCTGCTTTGGGATCACTAAATATCATTCCTTTTTTTTTTTTTGCCCACAAAATACTAGGACTAAGGCACGGCTTACAGAATCTAGTATATGAATATAACTTAATAACTTATCATTAGAAAAAGAAGAAGAAAAAAACCCTACCAAGTTTAGCTCCTTGTCACATTTCTCTAGCGCATCCATTCTGGTGCTTATATTGTTTAACCCCAAATTAAGCTTCATATTAGCCAAAGTTGACAGATCGCCATCAGATAATACAACCTGTAGCAGGTGGAAACTAGAGCAGTTATCGCAGATCACATCAGAAAACTTTACACTTGAATATCAGTAACTCAAGAGCCTATGATCATAGCATAAAAAGTGAACAGACGTATAGAACTACACTCATGCATGGGAAACAAAGACAACACGATAAAGCTAATAAACCAAAAGGAACATTCAATGACAGATATTCAGCTACTTGGTTCTCATATCAGTTACCTTCGAAGCTTTGACATGAGAAAGACTAACTCCAACCAAGCCAACGCCAGAACCAACCTGATTTGACATTCAGAGGAGTCAATAACGAAACCAGTTCAAGGAAACAACTCAAAAAAGGAAGTCTAAGAGCAAAAAGAGTAGAATTACAGCTAGCTACTGCATACATCCTCACATTATTAAACAACAACCTCGATGCAAATAAGAGTATATATATATTCCTTAACATGTTCATTACCTCAAAGCAAGTTTTATTGGTGAATCTATCTGGGAAAGAAAGTAAACTCAGACAAATACAGACTGGAAGGCCAAACCGAACATCTGTAGCAATTAAATGACAGTGACAGTACAATGTTAGTTTCCAGGATCCATGGTTAGTAGTATCATAAACAAATAAGACGGAGTCAAATGAACGACAGTGAAAGAGAACCTCCATATGCTTCACCCTGCATAAAAGGATGGACTATCCATTGAAGACAAAAGTAGATCGAACCCATATGAAGTTTTACCATTAGCAGATAGAATCCACTGGCAAATACTGCTTACCCTGTGTCTCCTTCAAGCATGTTAAGTGAGCAATTGAGAGGAACCACCAACTTTCTCGATTTGGGACAACTTGAAAGTTCAAAAGAACCTATCCACAATACACACACAGACCATCAACTAGACATTGAGCCAGGGGAGTAAAGATAAAATTCCACACAACATGTATTTCCATTTTCCAGGTCCTAACTCTTACCATCTGTGAAAAGGAAGGAAATGTGTTTGCAGGCTTTTCCTCTGCCGAAACTATCTTCCTATAAGACAAGTGATATATTAATCAGTAATGAAGCTAGTCTTCTGTACATTAAAGAGTATAATTCAACCATGAACGAATGCTCATTCCTTAGAAACCCGTCCAAGGATTACCTTCAATGAGGTCATGTAATAACCATAATGTTCGTATAATTCATCCAACACACACCCATGAGTTGACTCTACTTCAGAAATAAGCTTCTTCACAAAATTCTTCAAGTAAGGGGCATAACCTATGGCAGCCTGCAACAGAGCGAAAGAAAAATGAATCAAGCTTTTATTCCAGACATGAAATTCGCAAACCAGAAGCCAAGTTTGCACCTTCCATGTCAAAGGGTTTAATCAGGAGCAGAAAGAAAGGGTTTCAATTCAATCAATAGTCACTCTACTTACAGCTTGGTTTATGCAGTGCTCCCATATAAACTTCTGGACATTCTCTGAAACTATCCCTCCGCCGCACGCCCTTAACATATCAAACACAAAATAGAAACACTGGCAACTCTTCAGCCGCCATACTAGTTGCTAAAGCTGAGCTATCGCATTAGGGATAGAGATGGAATTACCTTGCAATGGAGATTAACGAGTCGGAAGGCTCCCTGGCGAGGAAGGCGGAGACCAAGTGAAGGCCTGGAGGGAAGTTGGGATCAAGCTCCTCTGAGTTCGTCATAGCTGATAGTTACCCCGGCGTTTCGCCAACAAAGGAGACTGCTCTGGAAATTACAGTAATGTGGACATGTGGTTCCGTGCTACAAAGAAATCGCTAATGAACCTGCCGAGTGCCTTTTTTGGAGTGAAATCGTGGGGGACGAATCCCGAACTCATCTGCATACGCCATCCGCTAGCTTGCTGCGACATGTCGTTTTCACTTTGTTCAGAAAATGCGACCGACTAATGTGACGAGTGAAAACCGACACGTGTGGTCAAGCAGATCTGATTGCGATTAATTTTTCACGCTTCTCCTCTCTCTCTACGTTCCCATTTCCCGCCAACTGAAGTAAAAGAGCTCACAAGAAATCAAGAATTGTGAGGTTGGCTCTCGTTTCTCTCGTCTTGTTCGCTGTTTGGTTTCCGAGAAAATCCTCGCTACTTCTTCACACAACTTGACTTCTGAGAAGATCGTTTCTGCTTTTTCAGTCGCCATCGACGAACTGCAGCCTTGATTTCGATTCAAGTTTGAAATCCATTTCTCATCACCAAGAAAACATGAATCAGGTAAAGGATCAACACTTTTCAAACTAATTCTAGTTGTAGGTTTTGAATCTCCAGTCGTAGATCTAGACAGATGATACGTAATAGTCCAGGGATTAGTCCTCTTCTCCCAATTTCTGGCTCAAAGGATCAGGACATCGAAGCGCCTCCTTCGCCAAAGAAGCAGATCTCCAATGTAACTGTCTGCTCTCGCTTCAGGCCACTGAATTCAAAAGAGAGGAAGGATCTTTGCGTGTGCCGCATTGACGACGAAACTTTCGTCTTCAAGTTAGGTACTATTAATCTGATATTCACCTCCCTTGCCTTCGATTGCTATGCTAATTTAAAGTTCCTCTGGTGTTAATTAGGATGAGAAGGAAGAAGAGTCTACTTTCAGCTTCGATAAGGTTTTCTACGAGGATTCTCTGCAAGCTGATGTCTATGAATTCATAGCCCTACCTATCGTTCGTGGTATAGAGATCGCTGCAAACTGTTTGATTAGTTTCTTCTTTCATAATCCGATTCTCGTTTCTTGTTTCCAAACATCTGGTTCATTTGATTCTGAAATTCTTCCTCGATTCAGATGCTGTTAATGGAGTGAACGGGACGATAATCACTTATGGACAGGTGAGTTTAGGTCAAATTGGAGTCAAATTTCCTGTTATTGTTCATGTTTGATTGTCGATTTGTGGTTTAGACTTTAGACCTTCCTTTTCGTTTTTCTGAATCATCACTGTCATCTTTCTTCAAGCAGACGGGAGCCGGGAAGACGTATAGCATGGAGGTCACATACATTTTATTTCCTTTGAATTCCAATGTACCTTGTGGGGAGTTTGCTGTTTTGCTTATTATGGTAACTCTTCCATGCTACTGGAATCAGGGACCAAATGTTCTAGAATCAGATGATATGAAGAAAGGGCTATTTCCAAGAGTAGTAGATGGACTGTTTGAGCATCTTGCGTCTGCTGGTGATTCAATCAAGTACAAGATCACGCTATCCATGGTAGAAACCAGTACCATTGCTAATAGATTTGGTTTGACAGCTTCAACAAACTGGGACTAACACGCTTCTCATGCTATCTTCTGATTCTTGTAGGTTGAGATCTACATGGAGAAAGTCAGGTATAAGTTCTTCATGTTTTCTCTAACCTAGTTTAGAAGTGAGGATGTTTATACGAGCAATGAAATTTCGGTGCTGTGTTTCGTTAGGGATCTCTTTGACTTGTCTAAAGATAATTTAGTGATCAAGCAGAATAAAGACCATGAGATGCTGGTTTCTGGAGTGACAAAGGCAAGTGAACTTCTGCTTCTACCATCTTTATCAGGAAAATTAGTTCATTTGATGTCAGTGTGGTACCAAACTGCAGGGTTACTTTGACCATTACCAAAGGAAGGCAGGATGATTAATTTGGTTTTTAAATGTCAAGTCAATGAGGACTCGAAGTCAAATTTATCAAGGAAACTTTTCATTAGTTAGATCAGATGGTGAACTCCATTAATTTGTAGACAAGCTATCATTCGTTTACAAATCGAGTATGCTTGTTCTCAGTCTTAACCATACTTTCAGTTTACTGACAAGCATTTTACTTGGCCAGATTCATTTGTCAGACACAGGAGAAGCTTTGCAAAACCTACATGTAAGATGGTTTCCTTTGAACGCTTATTTTTCAAATGCGTATCCCATGTTCTCATATTAAGACTGAACTTGCAGGCTGGAATACAAAATAGAGCTGTTGGGGAAACTCGTATCCACATAATCATGCTTCTAAAGTGTCATTGATCTTCTAGTAACTAGCAATGGATAGTCTTCACCAACTACCTGCACTACTCATCTGTGTGGAATAGACATAGACGTTCAGTTCTTGACAGTAAAAAGAAATGAATCTGGCAAGCAGTCGAAGCCACTGTGCCTACATATTCACAGTCCTGTCAGATTCGACCAGATATAGCTCTTTGTTTCAGTCTTCTGTTCTCTATTCATTATTTAGCATTACATTGAGAAATTAGTCTGAAATTTTGAACATCATTGGCAGGGGAAGGACAGGGAAATTGGTGCTTGTTGACTTGGCAGGATCTCAGAAAGTGGAGAAAACTGGAGCCGAAGGGAAACTTCTTGAAGAAGCTAAGACCATAAACAAATCCCTATCAGCTCTGGGGAACGTGATAAATGCTCTAACATGCAGTTCATCCAAATCTAATCACATACCTTACCGTAATTCTAAGCTGACCAGGCTTCTTCAAGATGCTCTAGTTAGTTCCTTGCCACTCAAGATTCCCAATCTGTTGTTCTTCCAAGGGACCAGAGTTTGACCAGCTGGGTTGTTCTTCTGCCACCAGGGAGGCAACTCTAGGACTGCTTTAATCTGTTGCTGCTCGCCGAGTACCTCAAACTCATCAGAAACATTTTCCACTCTTCGTTTCGGTACCAGGTGTATATATACCGTGCATTCTTTAGTCAATTCCATGGATGATTTACTGAAGAGGAAAATGCATGTCATGATAATTAGATTCTTGCTATTGCATATTTGTAGTCACTTAATGACAATCATACTGATTGGTATTTTGCTGTAGGGCAAAGCATATAAAGACATCGCCTAGAACAACGACGCCAGAAATTCCGGATCCGATAGTAGAGCCTCAAGCGATTTGGAGTTTGAGTTGGTTGAAGCTTCATTGGGTGGAAATTGTCCTTGGGCTGCTTTCATTTGGCATATCTGTGGCGATTCTCGTCCTGACCTACCTTGGGTTTCATGAAAACAGGACACATTCCCATCTCATCGGTCTTGCATTCCTTCCGGCAGGGGTGACATTCGTTCACTTCATTTTGAGTAGCATTTATGTTTATTGCGGGAAGGAATGGAAAAAAGAGAAGATAGCGTTTTTAGCCCAGGCATGGTATTCGAAGACGGTCTTCCAGCTGCTTGGATTCGTCTTCGGGGGATTTACAAATGAATTGATTGCGAAGGTCAAGCTGCCGGCAGTCTTGATGTTCCTCTACAGCTTCTACGTCATGTGCTCCTCACAGTATACCAAGTTCCCCTTCAGCTTGGATGTGACCTCCACCTGGCTATCGTGAGTAGCTACAACCATCTGACTCTTTTAATTAACCTATATATGTATATATATGTATTGCATATGTTCATGTTGATCACTAGCTGCACCTCTCACCCCCTTTTTCCATTGCGTGCAGGTCTACCGCCATTGTCGCTTTTGACACCAGCCGATCTTCCAAAAAATTTTGGTATCCATGGGGATTGATCATTGGCTTGGTGGGGATAATGGTTGTGAGAAACATCTGCGATAGGCCAGCCCCGAATGAGGATGTGGTTGAGGACCCTGACGTTGAGGAACCCCTGATTGGCTGAGCAGCTGCTGTGGTCGTGATCGGACCTTTGTTTTGGCCGGAGGGTGGTTATGGACCTAATAATAGATAGACGAGGGATGAGATGAGATTATTCTCTGTTATTGGATTTGTGTTTTGTCTCTACCTATACGGTTTTATACTTGCAGCCTTTTGATTTGATGGATATTGTTGCCATGTTTTGTGTCTGTATGACCGTAACAGAGCTTTTAAGTGACTCACAGCACGTTGAATTTCTCAAGTTTCTCATATGCAATTAATGGTTCAGTAGTGTACCAAGACAGGATATCTTGTAGTCCATAAGGATATATGGTTAGGGTATAGGGTATGTGGTTAGTGTATAATGTATGGATGGTTTAGAGTAATGTTGTCAAAACCGAACGAATCACAAATCGGTTTAGCAAACGATTCACACTTTAGTGGTCTAACCGGTGTTAAGCCGTTAATGTACCATTAACTTATAAACAAAAATATTATAAATAGATACATGATTACACATCCAACGTTCTAAATCAATACACATATATGAATGTTAAACAATAATTTCCAACTATAAAACACCCAAATTGGTTAGTAACAGGAAAAGTGATGATCAAGCTCTAACGTTACTGCGAATGAATTATGGGAAAAACAAAACTTAATGGGGTTGCATAGTGCATCCAAGAGGCAGAGAAAATTAGCTAAAAGTGGAGCATTGCAAAAAATGCCAACCCCCGCGCAATGAAAAGTGAAAACAGCTACCACATCGAAAGGAATGAAAAATCTCAAACTTCCTTCATGTATATAATACAAAGTGGTGTTCCTCTTTTCAAATTGTAACCGTTAAAGCCCAACAAGCAGCACTAAAATAAAATGCGAGATTTGGTCTTTTGAGTTTTGGTTTGTAAAGCCCTTTGTAAAATTTTTATGTTAATAATTTTGGTTGCGAAATGATAAAACCGGATGGTCGGTCAGAACGGTTTGTGCGGTTTTTACTTCCTTCCGCTATCTGGCCGGCCATTTTAATCATGGCGGTTATATAGCTAGTGCGAACCGATCTTGTGGCCAGGTCATAGTTTTACCGGTCCGACTATATGGCTCGGCTATGATAACAGTGGTTTAGATTAGAGTATACTATGATAACAGTGGTTTAGAGTATATGATCAACAACATACACTAACTTAATATTGTCGATTGAGGGTAAGGTTAAATGTATAGGATATATGCTATTGAGTAAGTTATTATTGAAGTCACAACAATTTTACTAAATTTGATAGTTAATTTTTAATTGTTCAATTTTTAGGATAATTCGAACAATTTTACAAATAACTTTTTTGGTAACAGTTTACTGAAGTTATTTGGGCAATGAGTTATTTCGAAATTACTCCTTTTATCACTCTGCTTTTGCCAAATATCACACCAAATACCAGATTTGCATGGTTAAACTAAACGAGATACTTTAATCCAATTACTACTGAAATAATATTAAAATATCAAATAAACAATTAATGGTGTCTTTTCGTTGCGAATGTTTATATCATCATTACTATTAGCTAGTGTACTTTACCAATTATGATTAATAACATAACAAGTTTGCAAGTCATATAAATCGATTCAACATTTTGACTAGTTTTTTTAATTAAGTATATATATACGAGGTAGAAAGAAATTTGTTAAAAAGTTGAGAAAAATATTTTAAATTAGTGTAATAAAATGTGTAAGTTGGTAATGAGTAATGAGTAAGTTACTCGATACGCTGACCCGAACAACCCGCAACCCGATCCGTCCGCAACCCGCCCGACCCAAAACCCGATGAACCCGCAACCCGATTTGCCCGCAACCCGATTGAACCCGAACCCGATGAACCCGCAACCCGACTAACCCACAACCCGTTTGAACCCGAACCCGATGAACGCGCAACCCGACAAACCCGCAATTCGTTTGAACCCGAACCCGATTGAACCCAGCCCAAACCCGCCCGAACCCGCCCGATTGACACCTATAACTACAACAAACACACAGTTTTAGCAACGGTCAGACGGACTATTAGCGACGGTCAAAACCGTAACTAAAATATTTAATGATGGACGGCGGACTGTCGCTGGCCCCGCCTTTTTTATTGATTCCTACGGATTGGATAAAAACAATTCTTGAATGAGGTATTCAACTCCAAGGATGAATCGAAAAAGTAAAATTCCTAGTGACGATTTAGGTCGACCGTCGCGTCGGCCGTCAGTAAAATTTAACAACAGTTCTAACGCCGTGATCTTTTAGGAGACTGTCGTTAAATAAATTTTTCATAAATTAATTAAATTATTTAGTGATCGATTTCGAGCTACGCACCGTCGATAAAAGCTACAGGAACCTGTAATCACAGCCTGCTTTGAATTTTTTTTTATCATAGGAAGCCTGCTTTGATTTTTTTTTTTTCATAGGAAGCCTGCTGTGATTTTCTGAAACAACAAATCAACACTATACAGGTACTTTGATGATAAAAAATCCAACTACTTTGGATTACCATATCATATAATCCATCAATACGTCAATTCTGGAACAACCAAATCCAGTCAAACCACTTACAAAATTTCAATTCTGGAACAACCAAAACCAGTCAAACCACTTACAAAAGTTCATAAGGAACCTCTCTGAATTTTCCAAGTTGGTCTTCTTTTGCCAAGCTGCTCACAATTTGCCTGCATCAGTGAAAACAACAATTGTTATTACTTTGTTCTTCAAAAGCCAGAACTCCCATCAGGCTGAGTATGGAGGTAAATGGCAATAGAATAGTACCCAAGCTGAGAGAGTCAGATCTTATTAAAAGGATGAAAGAGTTAGAGCACTAACCTGGTTGGAGTTTCTTAGCTTAAGAAAGGCCTTCTTCTGCTTAATTTCACAAATTTCTCCGTCAATCTTGTGTAAAAGACGGATGTAAAGAAAAAGTGAGCTCAAACTGTTTGTGTACTTCTGTAATGTAGTTTTCTTTCTTTTTCCCTCCAATCGCCCCCCCTGAACTTTGTGGGAAAGCTTCTATTTATATCTGTTTTTCACTGCTCATTTAGGATTGGTGGCAGTTTTTAGTTCATGGATGGATTGGTGTTAGTTTTACATTGGTTTTCAAGGGGGTGGCCGCCTGCCAGTCTGCCACATTTTGAAGAGGCAGCTGTCACTTCTGCTGTTAGTTTTCGGTTGGTTTCCAGGGAGGGGGGTGGCCGTTTTACTCCTTTCAATTAATGGCAGTAATGATGGCTAGTCCTTTGGAATGGGATAAGGTACATTGACCTGAGTTGACCGAAGTTGACTCTGTAATTGTGCCTTTTGACTGGGTTAGGTCATGTTGACCAAGTATGGGCCAAAAGTCATGGGTCTGAATCAGGTTCATGATTTTAATTTGGGCTGAAACTAATCTGTTTTCCTCTTTTTTCATTTTTGCAGGTAAACAATTCGTTTGGGCTCAAAGTAGGAGGGCAATGACTTCAATTTGTTGACCGAATCTGTTTAGCGTTGTTATTGTAATTAGTTTATTGTGATTAGTTTTAATCCTTTATTATGGTGTCATTGCTACTATTTACAATGTAAATCTGATAATGAAGTTTTTGCCTTAATTCAATTTCGCACAATTCATCTACCATTCCCAAATCCAAAGCGTACAACCTTCTTTTCACCATAATCATTTCTTTTGTCCAATTGAAACGAAACTTAACAAACTTATAGCTCAACATGGAATTGATGTTAAGATTTGCTACTGCTAATCTTAACAAATCCAATCTTAGTAGCCTAAACAACTCGGTGATTACTAATGTTTACCGACTCGTCACTACTAGTTATATTAAGTGAACTTGGAAGTAATTGACTTGCCATTGCAATCTCAATCGATTATTTTGAAGTTTTTGTTTGATTTATCAATATCGATTTTCTCCTTTCGAATTTTAAGTGTAGTGTGTGCACGGACAAAATATGGTGTCTACAGCTGCAAAATGGTGGGCAAAGCCAATGATTTGTGTTCAAGTAAGGATACCCATGTGTTTGGGTTCAATTGCGATCATGCTAAACAAAAAGGGGAAAAAAACACTAAAGATGATGAAACTCGGTCCAGATACAAAACTCGTGGTAGCGGCCTTGGGAAACGCTGGCAGGGAACAATTTATGATTTCGCCGACAGTATTTCGAGATGGGCTACAAAATGTTGGACAAAGACGATTTATGTTTAAGGTAGGATACCCATTTGTTTGGGTTATTGAACAAAAAAGAAGAAAAGAAAGAAAAAAACACTAAAGAGGATGAAACTCGGTCCCGATAAAAAAACTCATGGTAGCGGCCTTGGAAAACGGTGGTGGAGAACATTTAGGATCCCGTCGACAGTATTTTGTGATGGGCTGCAAAATGGTGGGCAAAGGCGATGATTTGTGCAAAAAGTCATAGACGAAAACCTAGCGAACAATAACTAAACACAAAGCCGATGATAACACAAAGCCGATGATTTGTGCAAAAAGCCATAGACGAAAACCTAGCAAACAATAACTAAACACAAAGGTTGAAGAATGGAGAGTGGGGTAAAAGAAGGACTTGGAACTTCCCCACTTGTACTTGAAGGAGTGTGAGAGCCACTAATGAATAGTAACTCTAATCTAGGCTTTTATATATTAACCCGTCGACAGTATTTAGAGACGGGCTGCAAAATGGTGGCAAAGGCGATGATATGTGCAAAAAGTTATAGATGAAAACCTAGCCAACAATAACTAAACACAAAGTCGATGATAACACAAAACCGATGATTTTTGCAAAAAGGCATAGACGAAAACCTAAAACAAAACATAAAAGGAGATGATTTGTGCAAAAAACATAGATGAAAACTTAGCGAACAATAACTAAACACAAAGGTTGTAGAATGACGAGTGGGGGTAAAAGAAGGACTTGGAACTTCCCCACTTGCACTTGAAGAAGTGTGAGAGACACTAATAAATAGTAACTCCAACCTAGACTTTTATATATAATTTTGTTGTCATGAACGTGAGAGATCTGATTATCCAGAGATAAGATTGAACTAAACTTCTTGTATTTTGCATTGAGTTTGATTATTACAGAGTGAATCTGTGAGAAGAATGTGTTCTTCCATTTATATAGAATTTAGCGGACGAGAGAGACTAACAACCTTTTCTAACTTATCCTAACAACCCGATTAGTCTAAGTACAATCTAATACCCAACTTATCAAGGTTATAACTTTGGTCATGCACTACTACATTTTACATCATACAGCATCTATAAAAATAAAGTCTAGTCCTGTGTTAATCCTACT